TCGGCTCAGGTCATGGTCTCAGGGTCCTGGGATCGAGCCCCACATCAGGCTCTCTGCTCAACAGGGAGCCTGTTTCCCTTCCTCTCTCTCTGCCTGCCTCTCTGCCTGCTTGTGATCTCTCTCTCTGTGTCAAATAAATACATAAAATCTTATAAAAAAAAAGATTTTGTTTATTTGAGGGAGTGAGCATGAGCTGGGGCAGAGGGAGAAGCAGACTCCCCACCGAGCAGGGACCCTGACACGGGGTTCAGTTCCAGGACCCGGAGTTCATGACCTGAGGCCAAGGTAGACGCTTCACCAACTGAGCCACCCAGGCCCCCCATTCCTGGGATTTGTTTTAATCAGATAGGCTAAGGTGACAGAAATGCAAACACCTGCCTTTGGAAGAATAATTTATTACTTACATTTCTCAAGAGAATCAGGTACCCCATACCACGCAGGGGCACAGGGGGAAGCACCAGTTGGAGTCAGAAGGCAGAAGGGGAGCAAAGGGAATGTAGCCCAGAGCCTTTATTGGGGTTTTCATAGGAAGGAAAGGGTGAGCAGCAGGCACAAGGAGTAAGTTTAGGATCGGGCAGTTTGAATAATTTTGGCCGGCCTGGGCTATAGTGGCCGTCCCTAGTTGTCCAGTATCTGGCCTTGGCATGATCTGGGGCAAGGGGGTGTTGGCTTGGCATGTGAGAGAAATGAAGGGTGGCTTGGGGGTGTGGGCTCTCTCTAGGAACTGTGTAGCCCTTGGAGGAGCACTCTCTCCGGGACCACTGTTCCACATGCCAGGGCATCAGGAAGGAAGAAAATAAGCAAATACAGGCAGGGGAGGGGAAAAAAAAAAAAAAAAGAGGGGAGAAGATACAGTCCTGATTTTGTTTAAGAGGGAAAAAAAGAAGATCTTGCCCTAAGAGAAGAAACAAGGGGAAGGGATGCTGCTGGGTTGGAGCCATCTCAGGGAGGCTCCTGCAGGCCCTTCCCTCCTAGTTTCCTCCTATCAGCCAGAGGCAGGAGTGAAAACCCTAAACCAGAAAGAAAAATAAAAAAAAGAAAAAGAGGAGAGAAGATACAGGCCTGATCTTGTGTGTTCTTTCACTTGGAAAAATTAGGAGCAACTAGTGGTGGATTACAAGAACCCCTCCCCCGCCCCCTCCATGATGTGGTCCCGCCCATCAGGGGCTGCACACCTAGTACCCAACACCATTCGGATTGTACCCACCCAACCAGTAAACATTTGCTCGTACTGATGGGCTGAAATGTCCGATTCTGGCTTGTTTCGACAGCCTATCTGCAGCGGCTACTTCCACACCTGAGGGGACACAGTGCAGCTCTCCCGGCTGCCCAGAGCTGCACCACAGCACCAACCCCCATACAAGATCCTGACACAGCCACCTCTCTCCAACATGGTGCTCTCCTCCAAGGGGATTCCTGGGACACACTCATTAGGACACAGAAGTCCAACAGCTTTGAGTCCTATTGGGTCCCACTGGCAACACATTCCTCCCCAGGCTGCTGGCTGCCTGGGAGCCCCTTTGGACTTGGAGGCTCAGGAGCAGGCAGGCCATGTAAACATCACCACCAGCCACCATGTGTGACCAACCCCACTGGAGTCCTACTGCCAGGACATCCCTGAACATGGACAGGACCCATGGCCAGCACTTTAGCCAACTTCATACAGGGGCCTGAGCAGTGGGTGCTCTGGGCAACAATGGCCCATCTTCACACTGATGACACACTGTCAGACCACTGCGTAAGAACTGTCTCCTTCAGAGTAGAGAACACTGGGACGCTCTTGACTCACAAATGTCAAAAATGTAACTTGAAATCACACATGCGTCCAGATACATGAAGGCCACAATACGAGTCGTGACCAAGACATCCTTACCTTTTGGAGTTAGAAACATTACCAACACCATAACCAAGACACACGTCACTTGAAACCACCACGTTTCTGAGAGGTTCCACAGAACCCGTTTCACTGAGGGACATAATGATCCTGTTAAACAATTCCTCATCAATGAATGGACCCCAAGATGAGTGTTCATCTTGCCCCAGGCCTTAAGCTCCCCTAATTAAGGGCCCTTTGCCCAACTCTCACTTACACCAACCTGAAAAGATTTCTCTGTCCTTCCCTGAACACAGGGGAGATGTGTTCAGCCTCTGTGTAATGCAAACTTCCCATGAGGCTCTCTGCTGATCTCTCCCCACTCCTGGTGTTCCTGTGTGGCCATGGCCCAAGTGCCCAGCCTTCTGTCTCCTCGTATCCGTGAATATGAACTTCTTCCTTCATTGCAATCATCTCCCTGTGTGTGTGTCTTACTGTACCTGGTCTGAACAAAGCCTGAGTACACAGTACACCTCTCTTCCGAGGTCTTTATGCAGCCACTCCCCTGTCAAGTCTCCCTCTGCCTCCCCCTACAAGGACGCAGCGATGAGATACAGGCCCCGTTGGGATCATCCAGGATTATCTCCCCATCTCAAGATCCTTCACTTAATCTCACCTGCAAATCCCTTCACCATGAAAGGTCACACTCAGAGGTCCTGGGATGAGGCCCAGGGTCTGGTTGTGGGCCAGCCAATCACACTGCAATTATTCTGCTCACAACTTCTGTGCTATTGTCATGCCTTTCAATTCCCTGGGGGTATTTAAGTCCCAGAAGACATTCTGTTCTGGTTTTAGAAAGCACTCTTCATTAGGTTTATATACAACACACTGTTCCTGAAGCTCTGGGCTGTGGGGGTCATTCTGCTTCGGGGGCCCCAGTTACCATCTCCTCAGGTGAGGGCCAGTGGCGACCAGTGTCTCCAGAGTCCATTTCTCCACAAAGTCTTTATCTGACCTTTTCTTTTGAAGTAAACTTCTTGCTGGGTTCAGAATTCTAGCTCCCCTGTTGTGTGTTTCCAGGACTTTGAAGCATTCCTCTCACTGTGTACTGGTTTCTATTGCTTCTGTTGAAAAGTCAGTGAGCTCTGAAAATGCTTCCTTGGCCTTTGGCTTCAGCCCTTCACAGCCATGTGCCTGGGCAGCGGTCTTTGTGCCTCCCCGGCGGCTTTCAGGCCCCCCAGATCTGTGGCTGGGGATCTTCCAGTAGTGCTAGCCAGCCCCGCGCTCTTACCTCTGCAGACACTGCTCTGTCGCCAGCCTGAGGGGCTGGTCGGTCGTTGGCCTCCAGGGAGGGGTTCTAGGGCTTCCCACAGGAGGGCAGTGGGAGCCAGCTCACAGTGTGGGGACACGTCCAACTGTGGAAGCCACGGTTCTCCGCCACGCGTGCGCCTGCACGTGGAGGGTAAGGATGAGCACAGCCAGGCCGGGCCACCCAGCTGTCAGCAAGGTCCACTCGGTTTCTCCCAGCCGGCCTGGGCCCTGACCTCACCTGCTCCTTGTCCCTTCCCCGAGCCAAGTCCACCCTGCACGGGCTCTCCTTTGACTCTCCCACCCCCTGCATCCCATCCACTGGAGGTCCTAGCGCTCATCTTCCGAAGGTGCCCCCGTCTGACCTCCTGTGCACACCATCCAGCCATCGCAGGTCAGAGCCATCAAGTGGCTGCCCGACCCGCGCATTCGGCTACTTCCCTGCCGGTCTCCGGGGCGATCCTCTGAAGCGCGAACCAGAAAAGAGCTCGCTCAGGCCCCGGGACAGCGCAGCGCTCCTGCGGGACGCGTCGGCGCACAGCCGCACTTCAGCAGAGGAGGCCCCACTGCTGGGAAGGGGCCGCGACCCACGACCCGCAGGCTAGAGCCCAGCGGGGACCACCCCCAATCCCCGCCCCCTCGCCGGCCCCGCCCCTCGCCAGGCCCGCCCCGCCCGGGTTCCGAGAACCCGCCGCGGCAGTCACGTGGCGTGCGACCCGGAGGTGGAACGGGTTGGCGCCGCGCAGCCCTTGGCTCCCGGAGCACAGACGACCCGCCGGGTCTGCGGCGACCGTGCGTCCCCGCGCCCACCCGACCATGTGGGCACCGCGCTCCCGCACCCCGCTGCTCACGCTGCTGGCCGCGCTGCTGGCCACGCCCCGGGCCCTGGCAGAGGCCCCGCACCTCGTGCTCGTGGACGCGGCCCGCGCTCTGCGGCCCCTGCGGCCCTTCTGGAGGAGCACCGGCTTCTGGTGAGCGTACCGTGCGAGGAAACTGAGGCCCGAGAGGCCCATCTCGCCTCCATCCCGCCGCGCGCTCCTCCTGAACCCGGGACACGCTCTGGGAACCCCTGGTTGCATTGGAGAGACCCTTCCCCTCTCGCCCCCAGGGCCCACCTTAGGCGCTCTGATGGGAGGACGGCTGCCTGGGTTGTAACCCGTCGCTGGCTGGTTTACTCCTTACCCTCAGGGTCCCCCGTCATTCAGACCCAGAGTTTTCTCTGTCCGCGGGTTCCAGGCAGTGTTTTGGGTGCCAAGAAGGGTTTTCTGAGTGGGTGCCAGAGGCCTCTGGACAGGCCCTGAGTTTGCCTGCCGGCCACCTGGGGCAGGCCAAGCGCAGGAGAGGCAGCAGACCAGGACCCTCCTGAGGGGGCAGCCACAGTGACGGCACACATCCCTACCAGGAGACCTGTCTCCCACCCGCTGTGTCTCAGACTGCCCCTGTCTCCCACCTCCTTGTGGCTCCCACCCCCTCTGTGGCCTGCTTCTGGCTGAGAGCACCTGGCTGAAGGGGAAGGAGCAGGGTACTGGGATGTGGTCCTCTCCCCTCAGGGAGCCCCTGCTTTCCATAAACATGAGACTTCCTGACATTCCTGGTGTGAGGGGTCATTTTATTACATCAGGGACAGTAACATTCACTGGCAGACACTTTCTGTCCAGCTGCTAGAGACGGGTGTCCTGGGCAAGCCTGGGCCTGTCCATGGGACTCATGCCACATCCCCCTTTTTCTGTCCCCAGCCCCCCACTGCCTCACAGCCAGGCTGACCAGTATGACCTCAGCTGGGACCAGCAGCTTAACCTGGCCTATGTGGGTGCTGTCCCTCATGGTGGCATTGAGCAGGTCCGGACCCACTGGCTGCTGGAGCTCATCACAGCCAGGTGAGTGATGGGGGCGGCTGGCAGAGCCCCCTTTATGGAGGTGAAGACCGAGGCCAAGAGGAAGACTCTGTCCGGGTGTGCGGGCCGTGCAGTCTGGGGGCTGTGGTGGGTGCTGGGCGGCCCCTGGGTTGGGCACAGCTGGCAGCCTGCCGGACATCACTTAGAGGCTTGGGGGCAGGTGGGTGTCCCACTACACCAGCTTTGTGGCTGGCCCAGCACCCATGCACCCACAGACCTCGTGCGGTGTGCTTGCTGGTCAGGCTTTGCAGGAAGAATGCCCAGGGGCTGGGCTGAAGTTGTGTTGGTCACACCCCCTCCCCTTTGGCCCTGCAAGGCTCCACCCAGCCAAGACGTGGGACGTAAGGAACACTTGGGTGTGTGTTTGGAAGACTTCGAGAGATATAGAGACCGTCTTGCCCCTGGCCAGAGCTGCCACCTCTCACCCAGTGGGACTGGCACTGGGCGGGGCAAGGGACCAGTATCCTGTTGGCACCTTGGAGGCGTCATGATTGCCTCGGGGACCTTGTTCAAATAAGACCATGACACCCAGAGTCAAATCCACCCTGCAGGACCACGGATGCTCAGCCTGTGGCCCGGGGTGGCACTGGGGTGGTTTGTTTCAAGGGAGTCGCTCTTGGATGTTTAAGTGTCAGGGGCCTCTGTGTGTTCCCTCCAGGGCAGAGGGGCACAGCATCGGTCTTGGAGGAGTTGTGGCAACTGATGTCGGTGACCAATGGTGTGCGCATGATCTGCTGAGGGCTCCTGGGGCAGAACGGAGGCTCTGCTAGAGGGCGGAGTCCGTGGCTGCTGGCACCCTGTGGCGGGCTCGGGCCCTCTGCACGGCACTGTGCACGCTGTGGAAGAGCTGCCCATCCTCAGTCAGGTCACCCTGGTCCTCCCCAAGGAAGCCGCCTCTCCTCAGGGTGTCCCGCACCAAGGGGCTGCAGCAGGCCAGGAGCAGCGTGACTCCCAGGGCTGCATAGTCTCGGCGTAGATCCCGTAGCGTGGCCACACCGGCTGCATCCAGGAAGAGCAGGGGTGCACAGTCGATGACCACGGCGTGGAAGCCGGCTGCCGTGGGCACCAGGGCCGCCGTGCTAGTCCCTGGGCCCAGGTCCATGCCCTCGACAGGGTCTCCCTCACTGACCCTGGCCTCCAGGCCCTGCTCCTTCTTCCTGGTGGCCGCACGCCCTGCGTCCAGCCCCGTGAGGCTGGAGAGGGACCGCAGAAAGAAGTCCTTGTTAGCGTAGTAGAGCGGCCCTGCAAAGCGGAATATCCGCACCCCAGGCTCGGGGACCAGGCCCTCGAACTCCGCCGTGTCCTCGTAGAAGCCAGAGTCCCCAATCTGAGCGAGCAGGGCGGCGCGCGGGCGCTGGGTACGGCCAGCCAGGCTGAGCAGGGACAGGAGGATGCCCGCCAGCAGCCCCACCTCGACGGTGACCAGCACACAGGTGGCCGCGGTGGCCACCCAGACCAGTGCGTCGGCTGGGCTGAGCCGCCACAGCTGCGGGACGTCCCTGACCTTGCGCAAGGCACCACGCAGGCTGACAACGATGACACAGGCCAGCACGCACCGCTGCAGGTCCCGGAAGAGCGGCGCCAGCGCCAGCAGCACCAGCAGCACCACGGCGGCACTGACCACGCTGGACAGCTGCGTGCGGCAGCCAGTGGCCGTCTTCACCAGGGTCTTGGACAGCGCGGCGCTGGTGACGTAGCAGTGGAAGAAGGCTGGCAGCACGTTGCAGCAGCCCACGGCCAGCAGCTCCTGGTTGGCCCTCACAGAGTAGCCATGGCTCCGGGCAAACATCTCCGCCAGAGAGATGGAGAAGGCGGAGCCCACAAGGGCCAGTGGCACTGCGTCCAGCACCACGCGCCACATCAGCCCCAGGTCTGGCACCCGGGGGGCCACGAAGCCTGTGGGGATGTCGCCAGCCACGCTGGAGCCAAAGCGTTCATGGAGCTGCCCAAAATGGGACACCATCGTGGCCGCCACGATGACCACTAGCTCCGTGGGCAGGGGCACCTTCAGGCGGCGCTGGCAGCGCTCAGAGAGCTCCTTGCCGGCCAGCAGCACGGCCAGACATGTGGCACTGGTGACCACGTCACACAGGTTGGCCTGCCCAGCGCCGCGTACCAGGCTCAGCCACGTGCTGACCACCATGCCCGGCCCTTGGTGCCGTGGGATCCTCACACCTAGCAAGTGTTTCAGCTGGGAGGTCAGGATTGTCACCGAGGCCCCCATGGCAAAGCCATCAAGCAGCGGCTGAGACAGGTAGGCAGACACAAAGCCTAGCCGGAGCATGCCCAGGAGCACCTGCGGATAGGGTGGGGTGAGTGTGGTGGAAGCCCAGAGCCCCTCACCCCTTCACTGCAGCTGCCTGTCTCCCAAGCGGACTATGTGTGGAGTCTCCTGCACGTGCGTGTGCACATGAGCACAGCAGATGCTGGAGGAGCACACGCAGTCTTGTGTGCTCATTGCCAGTCCTCTTCTGTGTGCGGGCTCCGGGCAGCGGCAAGCAGCTCCTTTCCCCTGTCCTGCACGGGGCACTGCCCCCATCCTGGGAGACCTGGGGCCCCTGGCAGGGTGTGACATTGGGGGTGGACAGGACAGGCCTGGTCCAGGAGAGCCGAGGGTATGGGGAAGCTGCAGGAAGAGAGGCAGTCCCTCAGGGTCCTACTGGGGACAGGAAACCCAGGGGGCTATGTGAGCCAGTCAGGCCAGTCCGCAGCTCGAGCCGACCCTTCCTGTCTAGGCCATAGCTCGCTGGACAGGGGCCCTATTCCTGGGCATCCTCAGAGCCTTGGGTGCCCCCATCCTGGGGTGCCATCCTGTGCCCACCTCTGCTGGCTCTGTCCTGTCCTTGCTGGTTAAACCCACTGTCCTCCGAGGCCCGGACCCTACACTGCCCTGGGCTTGGCCCTCTGAGTGGGTGGTAAGCACCCTAGGGGCTTGCACCTCGCTCTGCAGAACCCCCACCCTGGTGGCCCCTCACCTGGTAGATGCCGGCCACCAGCGTAAGGGCAGTGGCGACGCGGATGGCGTAGCAGTCCTGGTCACAGTCCTGCGGCCTGAGCCCCGCCACAGCAGCCGAGGCGTTGATGGTGCTGCTGTTGTCCCCAGGCCCGGGCCCCTCCTGGGCAGGCCCAAAGCCAGCCAGCAGGAGCTCGCGGTCCACGACCTGGCCCACCATGAGGCAGAGCAAGCTGAAGATGCCCACGGAGACGTGGTGCGAGGTGCCCATGAGGAAGTAGATGAGGTTTGCGAAGAAGGACGTGTACAGGCTGTAGATGGGCTGTAGCCCTGCCAACAGCGAGTAGGCGATGGCCTGGGGCACAAGGATGATGCCAATGACCAGCCCAGACATAACATCACCCACCAGGGCTTCCCGCGGGCGGTACTGGCGCAGCCAGCGGGTGGCGGGGAGCAGGTCCTGCACCAGCGTCCAGGCCCTCTGCGTGCTGCACGTGCAGCTGCGCCACAGCCTGGCTTTGAGCATCTCACGCAGGCCCAGGGATCCTGGGGACCGCCGGCGCACCAGCACCGGTCCCGTGCCCTGCGGCGCGCCCTCAGCAGACACTTCCATCCTGGCCCGCCACACTCCTCAGGGGAACCTGCAACGGACGCGTGTGTCACTGCTGGGGTCAGAGGGCAGCACAGAGCCCCAGACCTATGTGTGGCCAAACCCAGCTCCCCTGTTCCCTGTCCACTTCCCCGGGCAGGCAGTGGCCCCTCTGTCACCCATCCAAACCACCATGGTCCCCTTTGGCAGCCCTTCCATCACCTCTGTACCATGGGCTCGGAGAAGGGAGACCTCCCGAGGCCCTGTTGAACCTTGGAGATCCTGGGACCCCAAATCTGTGCTGGGCCAGCAGCGCTGGCCACCCCAGTCTCTGTGCCAGAATTCCTGGGATGGCTTTGGGAGGGTGATCTCAGTGGGGGCCAGAGGGTAGGGAGGTTGGGGTGACTGGTCTCTGTCCTCTGCCTCATCCCCCAGAATTGTGGGGTCTCCTTGCCCAGGGTGTGATAATACTCTTCAGACCACATAGGTGCACCGTGAACAAAAGTGTGGGACTGTCCCTTGTGTCCCAAGGACAGTGGGCCTTCCAGGGCCCGGCCTGGTCTTGCCTTCCCACCCCTGGCCCACAACACAGGGCCCGGCATCTACCCAGGGTGTGGAGGACCGTATGGCGGGAGGTGCGGGCAGCCAGAGCCTCCTGAACTCCAGAGGGACGCTGAGTGGGTTTCCTTCCTGGGAAGACCTCAGCACACGGCCCCCAGAGTCTGGGTGTGTTGGGGGGGACTGCTTCAGTGGTATCTGCCTTGTGCCTGCGAGTCCACAAAGGAGACCCGCAACCGGTCCCACACTTCCCTTCCCCCAGGGAGCTAGCTTCTTTGGTCGCCTCAGGGATTTCACAGTCCAGCAGCAGGGCGCTGGATGGTCTTACCTGAGGAGCCCCTCACAGGCTTGGGGGACTGGAGGGTAGCGAGGCAGCTGGCCTGTGGGTCCTCTGGGGCTGGAGTGAGCCGGCCGGCTGGGCCTCCAGAGCCCTCTGGCTTCTGTTGGCCAGTGTCGGGGGGTGGGGTGTGGGCAGCAGGGTTCGAGTGCAGAGCTGGAGCCAGGAGCCCAGCCGTGGCAGATGTGGTGCCCGCCGGGGGCAGTGCTCCGTGGTGACCATCTGACTGCCTGGGCAGCTGGGTTTGCAGTTAAATTATTTACCCCCCAAATTGCTGAGTCATGGGTTTCCCCCAGACTGGTGTTACCTGTTGGCTAGTCCAGGGACTTGCACTGTAATCAGAGGTTCACAAACAATTGTGCGGGGCCTCCTGATAAGCTCCCAGCCTCCCCGCGCTGCCCCAGGTGCGGGACAGGGTGGGCGAGGGTGCCTAGTGGCTGGGGCAGGGTGCTTGGATGCTGGGGTCCTTGGGGGAGGTGGAAGTCCCCCGGGACACAGCAGGCCGCAAGGGATCCTTCAGCTCTGGGGCCTTTTACTGTCACAACTACCCAGGGGTAGGCGAGGAGGGGGAGGGGCGAGCTCTTCATCCTGTCCCTGGTCACCCTTCCTGTTGTAAGGAGGGACAGATCTAGTCCAAGCCGGAGCGCTGGTTAGGGTGGCCCTGGGCAGCTGTATCCTCAGCCTCTGTTCCATGTCCTTGTGTAGAAGGCGGGTGTGAGGTTTTTGTGCATGCACACATGTGTGGATTGCTGGAGGGCCAGCAGGCACCAAGATACGCTACCCAGGAGGGGTGCCCTCTTGCTGGGAGAGGGTGGGGTGGTCTGAGCACCTGCATGACTGACAGGTGCCCAGCATGGGCTGGGCCTGGGGGGAAGGCACGTGATGGCTTTAGATGGTTACCCTCGTGCTCCAGAAACTATAAGAGGACTGACTGTTGCGATCTCAGGTCCCCCACCTTTATACCGAATAACTGAGGTGAAATTCCATCGCCAGGATCTTGAAGGATTATGTGTGCAAAGGGGCCCATCCCACAGGGCTGCCCTGGCCCCATAGCCCCTAGTGCTCTCCTGTCCCCCCAGGACACACCTAGGGTCTCCCCCTGCCCACATCCAGCCCAGGACCCACGTGACCTCTGGTGGGGAGCTGTTTTCCCAGAGCAGGAGAGCCTCAGGCCCCTCCCTGGGGTCATCAGGCACACCTTGGGGTGCAGAGGGGAGGGTAGCTCTGGGGGGGCATCTACCTTATCTCCTGCCCCAGTACTGGCAGGGGGGCAGTGAGAGAACTCCTTGGGGTTGTGTGACCCAAAGGACTCCTTGGTGCCCAGAGCAGTGGCAGCCAGGGTTAGCGTGTGCGTGCTGGGCGAGGGGGCCTGGGTGCTGCTGGAGGAGAGGGGTTCCTCGGGGTGGGGACCTAGCATGGGAAGGGGCCCTTCCTGAGTTGGGAAGGGGCCCTTCCTGAGTTAGGAAGGGGATGGGCAGGGGTTTCTGGAGGCTCTGGGTGGGAAAGCACCAGGGGTGAGATGCAGGGCAGGCGAAGCTGCTTCCAGGAGGGGCTCAGTGGGCAGTGGGCCCACCCAGAGCCTCCACCGTGTCAGCTGCAGCAGGGAGCCAGCCTTGCCCCCACCCCTCGCTGGCAGGGATTGGGCTCACATTCTGCTGGGGCTGGGTGTCTAAATCAGGTGAAGGAGTAGCAGTTGAGGTCACATCTGACCTTTTAGAGGTTTGCAGGACCCCCTCCTCCTGCTCCTGCCCCCGACATGCCCTTCCCAGCTTCTCTGCATTGAGGCTGGTGATGGGCACCTGTAGTCTGGCCCCGCACACAAGTACCTAGTCCTGGGCGCTTGCTTGTTAGAGAGGGGCTCTTGAGGCCCACACCCCCTCACTCCACCCGCCCACGGAGCTGCAGACTTCCCCCGGACAGGGGCCTTGGGGTTCGCCCTCCTGGAACCCCCCTCTGGTGGTGTCTGCCCAGCCCTAAGCCACATGGTTATTTCCTTAGTATTTGTCTTTAAATCTCGGTTTTAAATTGTCAAGTACGCTTATTTGGAAAGGAGACATTGATCCCGACCCTGAGTGCAAAGGGGCCGGGGTGTGGCGCGTTTTGCTTCCAGGGCCCTGAGGACCAGACCTGCGTTTCCCCCGGTGCTGGCTGGGAAGATGGAGAGCACCGGCGTCTCCCGCCAGCCGGCCCTAAGACACCCTCCTAGCCCCACGCTCAGACTGAGGCTGCGGGCTCCCTCAGGGGGCGGGTCCATCAGCCCGCCGCGCGCCCCTGCATCACTCCCGCTCTGAGCGCGCGCGGCCCCGCCCTCCTGCTCCGGGAGCCCGCGCCCCACATCTTCGCCCACGTCCCCTCCGTGCGCGACCCCCACCGTATAGCACGCGCGGCCGCGGCCGGTCCGCTCTCACCCGAGCACTCACCGGGCGGGTCGCCGCGCTGTCCTCTGGCGCAGGCGCTCAGGCCCCCGCAGTGGTTGCGGGGGGCGGGGGGGGTTGCTCGGTGCAGCCCGACCTCCCCCGGAGCGCGTGAATGAGCCCTTTGTGCGGCCGCGGCAGCCGTGGCCCACGTGCCAGGAGCCCTAGGCCTCCCGTCCAGGTGCGGACCTGGGCCGCAGAATGCAGGCTGGTCGGTGGAGACCCAGGCCTGTGTGCACTTCACCTCACCACTCAGCGCCCTCCCTGATTGAGGTCTCAGCTCCTCACTCTGAAGGGGCCAGGCAGAGGGGGGGCCCAGACACCCACGGTGGAGCCCAAGGACTGCTCCGTGGGGTTCCTTGGCTGGGGGTCACTCTGAGGTGGGTTTTTTGGGCTTGGGTATCCTTAGCTGTGAGGGCTGGCTGGGCCAGGGTACGCTCCTACTCACCCAGGGTGACAGACTGCGGATGCCTCTGTGTTGGGGCTCCCCCGTGGTACCTCATTGGCCCAGGACACCACACATGGCAGCACATGTCTGAGACCTGCTGGGCGCCCAGTGTGTGCAGGCTGGGGTCATTGCCTCCAGGGGCTAGAGGGAGAGCCTGGAGCCCCTGCACAAGTCCTAACTTTCCCTTTGGTCACTCCATCACCTCTGCCCTCCCAGCCCCCACAGCAGTGGGACTTTGGAACCGTCTGCTATGCACATTTAATTTTTACCCAAGTGCTTGTTAGTTTTCTTTGCTGCCAGTCGTGACCTTTGGATGGGAGGGGAACAGGTGAGGGAGGTGAGCCCCACTGCCCACAGGCTTGTCCTCCTGGGCCTCAGGAGTGGGAGGACGCAGCCCTGCACAGAAGGGCCAGGCAGGGAAAGCAGAGTACCGGGCCTGGGAGGAGCAGGAGGCCCACATGTGTGGTGGCTTGCCCTGGTCCCGGTGTGGGATTTGAAGGCCCGGCCCAGGCTCAGCCTTGACCCTGTACAAAGCGAGGCGTTGGGGAGAGCAGGACGTAGCGGAGAGGTGTTGACTTATCCATGTCCTCACTGTGCCCAGGGAGATGACTGTGGGCCAGACTGTGGTGTGGGATGGAGAGGTCAACAGATGAAGGCTGTTCAGGGCCCGTTTTCTGAGGTGACCTCACCCTTCTCCTCCCCAATGGCCACAAGAGGGCGCACTGCAGGCCCTCCCACCCCCAGCCACCTTCTTTCCTGGGACAGACCGTGAGGGGACCAGGCATGTTCTCAGGGGGAGCCCTGAGAGGCCTGCCGGACCACCTGCCTATGCTCTTCCCGAGGCAGTGCCCCTCAGCCTGGGCCACGTACCCCTGCATGACTCCTTCCGCCCTGGCGCCTTGCCTGTGCCTGACTGCAAGGCCACCAGTTTCCTCCCTCAGCCCCCAATGCCAGGTCCACCCTCAGAGACCACCTGTACCCCTACTGGCTGAGCTGCTCAGGCGAAGTGTGAGGGGCTGTGTGAGACCCGCTCCACCCACCCGCAGGTTGTCCCTTCTACCTTGTAAGCCCATCTGCTCCAGCTCCTTTCTGCTGCCGTGTGGCCACCACCCAGTACTGGGGCTGCACTGCTCTCCAGGGACCTTTCCAAACATCATGGCAAAAGGGAAAACTATGGGGCCAGTTGGTAGATCTGCGGTTGTCGGGGGCTGGGAGGAGGAGGGCAAATGGGGAGCACGGGTCATGTGGGGGCTGGGAAGCAACTCTAGGTGATACTGTGGTGGTGGGCGCCTGTCCTGATGCCCTCGTCCAGACCCACAGAACGTGCCCCCCTGGGGAGCACCCCGATGTCATCTGTGGACTCTGGGTGATAGTGGTGTGTCCGTGGAGGCTGGTCCATCATAAGGGATATCCCACTCCCGTGCAGACATGGCTCACGGGGAAGGCTGAGCCCATGTGCAAGCAGAGGGAAAATGGGAAGTCTCTCTGCCTCCCTCTCAGTTTTGCTATAAACCTAAAACTGTTGAAAAAAAAAGTTTTCAGGGGCACCTGAGTGGCTCAGCGGGTTAAACCCTCTGCCTTCAGCTCAGGTCATGATCTCAGGGTGCTGGGATTGAGCCCCGCATCGGGCTCTCTGCTCATCAGGGATCCTGCTTCCCCCTCTCTCTCTGCCTGCTTCTCTGCCTACTTGTGATCTCTGTCAAATAAATAAATAAAATCTTAAAAAAAAAAAAGTTTTCAAAACAAAGTCATGGCACTTTTCTCCCTGGATCTTTGACAGGGCTCCCATTTCACTCTGAGTCAGGGGCCCATCCTCACCTTGGGAACAAGATCTTCTGTGACCCTGTCACAGCCTGCACCCTATTGTGCCCCAGGTCCATGCCATGTTTTCTGCTGTTCGATCACTACGAGTTTGCGCCAACCTCAGGGCCATTGCACATGCTGCCCTGGCTGTTCCCCCAGCATTCTCGTTGCTTGCTTTGTCTCTGCTTGGTAGGTCTTAGACGTGACCTCAGAGAGGCCCGCCCTGCCTGATCCTTTGCTCCCTGGCCCTTCCCCTTCGGGGTACATCTGATGTGCCCTTGAAGATTCAAATAGTTGCCTGATGATTTCTGTCTCCTCCCAGAATGTGAACCTGGAAGAATTTGGGCCGCAGTCTGGGATGAATGAAAGAGGGTGGGGAGGCTGCCCTTCTCCCTTTTCTGAGTGTGGGAGGGAAGAGGAATACTCTTGAGACAAATCTGGAGCCCTGGCTTCCAGGAGATGCCAAGAAGCAGG